TAAGGACCACACAAGTGCTATTTAGGCCCTGATAAGTTAAAACACAGAACTGAAGAATGGTCTGCTTTGTTTTTCCAATGATAGTATCTTATTTAATGTTTTCATCTTTGAATGTGGCAGGTGATGTACTAAAAGTGAAGAAAAAAAAAAGAAAAAAATACCACTGTTTGTGGTCAGTAGTAAAACAATATTTTCTTTACCTATATTTTAAGTATAATTTTTAGGAACCAAATATATATACAATCCCAAGCAGGAACTGCTAAACCCATTCAGACTGAACCGAGAAAGCATAGAAAACTTCTATATTAGCATGGTTCAGTTGATACGCCATCATTGGTTGAAAGCTTCTCTATTACTGCGTTACCAAATTCTAGAGTTGAAATGAAAACGTTGAGCCCTGTTTCTCTCTCTCTCTGTGTTTTTTCCTGTTACTCACTTAGATGTTTCATCCTGTGGTATTGGTAAGTGGCAGCGACGGTGAAAAGCTTGTAGACATTCTTTACAGTGCACCAGGACTCCTCCTTCATTACAAATGAAGCATGCATCATTGTTAGCCTGATCCAGCTGGTTCAGAAAAGAACATTGAGGCATTATATGATTATATGTAGTTTTTACTCAGCTTTTAAAATATATATAATTATTATAATAACTTAAAAAAATTATGATGGCTAAACTAATCCAATCCAGCTCAAACAGTAAAAGATGCCCAACACCTTTGGTCTCCTACCATACAAGGCTCAATCCCAAGCTCAAAGATATGTCAATAAAATGATATTGATTTTATGATTCTCATAAACTGTATGGTACTGGCACCCTTTCCAGGGTGTACCCCGCCTTGTGCCCGATGATTCCTGGCATAGGCAATAGGTTCCCCCGTGACCCTGAAGAAGGAATGAGCGGTAGAAGATGGATGGATGGATGGATAAACTATATGGTAAAAAGAATGTAGACACCTGAACATCACGTGTGTTTACTGAACGTCCCATTCTGGGAAGGCTTTCCACTAGATTTTGGAGCGTGGCTGTGGGGATGTGTGTTCATTCAGCTATGAGAGTGTTAGTGAGGATGAGGTCAGGTGCTGATGTTGTGATGTCGAGGAGACTCCAGTTCCAGTTAATCCCAAAGGTGTTCAGTGGGTTTGAGGTCAGGGCTCTGAGCAGGACACTCCAGTTCTTCCACCTTCTTCTAACCTCAACACTTAATACACCATGTCTTCATGGAGCTCGCTTTGTGTACAGGCACATCCTCATTCTGGAACAGTGTTTGCACCTCTTAGTTTCAGTGAAGGGTAACGGTAATGCTTTAGCACAGAGAGACTTTATAACAATTGTTTTAAACTTTGTAGCAACAGTTTGGGCAAAACCACATATGGGTGTGATGGTCAGGCGTCCACATACTTTTGGCCATATAGTTTATATAACACATACATGAAATCACTGTTATGTAGTCATGGTATACGTAACATAACACCCACTGAATCAAAGAAAGTATCAGACTTTGTGTCACGTTCCATTCATTTCTAATCTTAGTCTAATCTTCGTCTAATGTCCATGTATAGAGTGTTGGAGGTTGTAGCCTTACTGGCTCTTTGTTTTTAGTGTTTGTGTAATCCCATTCACTGGCTTCCAACAGAAGAAAAAGAACTTTTGAACACTGTGAAGGGAGCATGGTGCAGAGGGAGGTGTGATAAATGCTTTAGGTAGGAGTGTTTTAACTCGGATGGAATGTAGCAATGGGGCGGTGTTGGAGATCTGAAAAACAAATCTTGAAGCTGCATTTTGGACTCGTTGCAAAAGGTCAGATGTTGTTTTAATGGCATCATATATTCAAAAAGTTTTTGAAGAAGCCTGACTTGCAAGACAATTATTTGTATCAGAATGTTGGGTCAGGGGTTTGAGACTCACTGGGTTATTAGGACATGGGGTTCTCCTGGACTGGGGGTTGGAACCAGTGGACTTCACTATGAAACGAGAAAGAAAACAACAAATCATAATACAGCAGAACAACCCTAGGTTTGCATTTCAGCATGAGCAGAAATACAGATATTAATTACATTTGTGTCCGGCTTCTAACTAAACCTGTGATGATGAGACCAATCGTTATAAAATAAACAAATAAGATGAACAAAAACAAATGCATTATGTCTTCTTTCTACCCTGTTTTATAAACTGCCTTCTTCTTTTTTTCCCTAAAATAATTCATATTAGAATTCTTTTATCGTATTCATTTAACTTAAGCTTTTGGAGAAAAGGAGAAATATTCAGAGAAGTCACACTGTGATGTTGCTCAGCTCAGTGTGGTAAAGTCAGAGCAGGTTTTGGGGAGTTAGTACTCGGGTGAATTATCAGTCCATACAGGATTTTGCAGAATTTATTTGTGATTGTTATGGCCAATAAAGCTTGATTTTGCTTCTGCATTGTAAAACATTTGTGATACAATTTGCAGATTTTGTGGTGCATTTTTTACAGAAAACTACTTGAATTGGTGAAATCGCACTTGCACGAAATTGTTTTGCGCTGTCTTTCACAGTGATGTTTGTTGGTAAATGAGACCTTGTAGCTTTTACTATTCATGTTCGATGCACGTGAATCAAAGGTGGCTTTGGCTGAATGAGCGTTGTGATGATGTCACATGATGCATCTTGAACCCATATGTGGAAAATCTGCAGAAAATCTGTGTTAATTTAGAAAAATTGCAAACTCCTGGAGGGACTGAATAATGGCAGTTAAACATTATAATCTCTACTGGTTTTCAGTATGTGCAGTATCAGCATCGCCTATACAGATTCAGTATAGTATATACACACTCAACATCCACTTTATTAGGAACAACACTTTTTTTAGTATTGTAATTATCACATATAAATACGCAAACTATACACACAATTTTCAGCAGATGAAAAACTGTTCATAATTTTAATAACAGTCTTTGTTATGTTGCTTTGACAGTCCACACAGACTGATGTTACAGCAGATAATTACAGGACTATTAGTCTAAAGCCTAGTTCACTCTTCACGATTTTAAGACCGATTTGCAAGTCACCGAGCAATTGGTGCTCACCGATCAGCAGTCGATCGTTATGTGTGAACTACTCAATGATGCACCAAAGAGGCTCGCAGATGCCTTGCAGAGGCATCACCGACACCAGAGAGATATTTAACTTGCAAAAAATCTGGAGCTATCGACAACTCCACATCCTGTAGTGTAAAAAGTGTCATTGCTGGCAGTGTTTGCGGCAACGAGCAACAAGTCTCTGTAAGGAAGGCAAACCTACAAAACCTGTTGAACAGACTTGTTACTACAAAACATTGTTTAATCAGCTCCAACTCTCTCTGAAGCGCACCTGCTGCCTGCTTCTGCTAATCCATTCTTTCACCCACTTTCTTTTCCTTTTTGTGTTTTCCTTTTTGTGGTTTTTTCAGCACAAACAGCTCGCACCGCTTGTTTCTATCCTACGTACATCTTCAAATAAACAACTCCGGTTTTGTTGTCAGAGTCATTGTCAGATCGCAGAACAATCGTGTAGTGTAAACACCACAATGACTTGCTGTCTCCCGATCTGTTCACATTGAGAGTCGTGTAGTGTGAAACTAGCCTTTAGGAGGTGTACTTACTAAACATGCATTTCAGTGCTACTAAAGCAGTAATGAGACTCTATCCTACAGCCTACAGAAGTGCATTGTGGTGGATTAAAATTCTTAAGAATTTATTTTATTGTTTTACTTTTCAGTGCTACTAAAGCAGTAATGAAACTCTATCCTACAGCCTACAGAAGTGCATTGTGGTGGATTAAAATTCTTAAGAATTTATTTTATTGTTTTACTTTATCCATCCATCTTCTACCACTTATTCCTTCTTCAGCATTGCAGGGAACACGGAAGTATCGGGCACAAGGCGGGGTACACCCTGGACAGGGTGCCAGTCCATCACAGGATGGACCAATTACATACACACTCACACACCCATTCATACACAACGGACAATTTAGTCTTTGGACTGGGGGAGGAAACCGGAGGAATCCCCCACAGCATGAACATGCAAACTCCTCACACACGGCCCTGGCGGGAATCGAACCCTGGACCCTTGAGGTGTGAGGTAAACGTGCTAACCACTAAGCCACCGTACAGAGAAGCACTCTGTATGTAAATAAATCAAACCCACAAATTTGTAAATAAAAGCTTATTCAGCCCAGTGTCTATCCCTATCACTTCACCATAGACTCACCGAATCTAGGCTCCATGGCAGTTCTCATCTGGCTGGAGCTGGACACAGAAGAAGGACTTTCTTCCTCTTCCTCTGTCTCATCAGTGCCTTTCTTTCTCTTTGTTCCAGGCCTTTCTTGCTCTGTTTCCTTTTCCTTACTTCCTATCAGTTTCTCTACATAAGCATGGTTTTCATAAGACCTGAAAGATCCTTGAACGAGAGACACAAACACTTCAAGCAAACAATAAAGTAAAAAGACACTTCAAAATGACCTGCTTAACCACAAGAGTCATCCGAAATCCTTTCATTTAACAAATTGAGTGACTGACCATCCAGAAAGCTGGTTTGGAGCGTGCGCAGAGCAGGATATCTCTGCACGATGTGATCCTGAAACACAGATCTCCAAAACATCTTCACACTCTGCCCTCCCTGCTGCTCCAGACGATCCAAAATCTGATACACAATACCCTGTCTGCTCTCCTTATTTCTCATTTTTATTGCCTTCTGCAGAGAGAGATAGAGAATCTTCTAGACATTCTGCATACATATTATGTACATTTAAATGTATAACAAAACAAATGATTGTTAAGATTTCTGCATCACACATCGCTGATCCTGATTGTCATAATTTCTTTTGGCATAAACTTTTAAATCATACAAAAATCATACGGTTTGTGCACTTAAATTGTTATTATTAAAATCTCTACATTTACAGCATTTGGCAGACAGCTGTATCCAGAGCAACTTACATTTATACATTTGAGCAATTGAGGGTTATGGGCCTTGCTCAAGGACTTAACAGTGGTAGCGCTGGGGTTTGAACTCATGACCTTCTGATCAAGAGCAAATGTCTTAACCACAGAACTACCACTGTTAACAAACACTGATCAAATACCAATCAAGCACTGGGCAGTAAAATACATTTATACCATATAGGTGTGATTAAACAAGTCAAGCCAATCCATGTTCTTATTGTGTAAAGAAAAAAGCTCTTCAAATGCCAGAGTGTTATTTTTCTGGATGTCTTGCCTGGTAGAGTTCATCAGCTACCAGACTGTGGTCTCGGAGCTGGTTGAGGAAGGTGAGCGGTTCATCAATGACAGAAATCTGTGCCTTGTTCAAGCGGAAAAACTTAATCAGCACCTCCGGCGGTGTGAGATCCAACTGAATAGATATTTGGTTGCTGCACATCTTTCTACTCTGTACAAGAAAACATTGTTTTTTTCTGAATACAATAAAGCACATATTCAACAGAAAAGGCCAGTTGTTCTAATTACTTACCTCCGTTTCTCCAGTATCCTGAACGGGGTGTTGACTGTTGTCGAAAAAACCTGAAAGAGTTGTGCAACCTGATAGAGTCTCTGTAACAGGAACCTGTGAGAGAGTTACGCCCCTTGTTCATGGCTGACACACCTTGTCTGTCTATGTGTAGCCTGAATGCAAAATGAAGCAAATGCAAAATTAAATGAGTAACATAACATTTCACTTCACAGCATGGTTTTGATCTTTAATTGCTTGTATAAGTTTTGCCAGTAGTGAATATAATAGCACTTAGATGGAGTAGACTAAAACAACATAGAATAAAATAGAGCTTTGATAGGCTTGGGCTGGATCAGAATATAATGGAACAGTGATTACTCGATTTATAGTGGTCGTCTGTGATTAACTGTGATCAGTGATAGGTCATTTTACAGCATTGATCAGTGATTAGTACATTTACAGAGGTGATCAGTGATTGGTCCTTTAAGCGTTCACAGAAGAGGTGGGTCTTTGGCCATTTTTTGAAGATAGTGATGGATTCTGCTGTCCGGATTGAGTTTGGAAGTTCATTCCACCCGCTGAGGGACATTGGTTTTTCTGTGGATTTTATGAAGCAAATAATTTCTTAAGAAATTGATTAATTTATTATAAATAAAGTGTGGGACGTAGGCTCACTTACTTAGTAGTGTTTTTAATATTTTGTGTTATGTCATTTAACTGAAATGAAGTTAATGATGCACATCAATAAATCAACACGTTGCCATTCTCTCTCTCTCTCTCGCAAAGGCGAGCGTGTGTGTGTGCGAAGTTCGGACAAGCTAAAATGTCCATTTGTCTATCACGAAAATAAAAACTGTGTGGCAAAGAACCTTGTGAAGTTGACCTAGTTGTTAGAGGGCTGATAAGATCAAGATTAAGAATCGAATACACCTACTATAAACTGGTAAACGATCTTGAATCATTTAAACGCAAATGGGGTGTAAAACAATATATTTGTGGTGTCGATCATCTGAAAAATTTATTGTAATTATTATTATTATTATTTTTACTTTCTATTTGTATTTTTTTCTTTTCTCTTTTATTTATCTACTTATTTATTTATTTTAATTGAGTAATCATGTGATGTGCTGTAACAGGATGCTCAATTAAATATATGTTTGGATATTAAAGGACCTTTAAAAAGTCAAGTCTCTCTCTCTCTCTCTCTCTCTCTCTGTCTCTGTCTCTCCATCTGTGTGTGTGTATGTGTGTGTGTGTGTGTGTGTGCACGTGCAGGGACATCTGGAAGTGCACATTCTGTGTGTTAAAGGCTAAAAAAGAAGACATTTTAAACAGTCTTGTTTCTGAAAACAAGCTGGTACACAGACACACATTCAAACACATGCACATACACACACATACAATAGTGCTTGTAAGTTTGTGAACTTTAGAATTTTCTATAGATCTGCATAAATATGATCTAAAACATCATCTGATTTCCACACAAGTCCTAAAAGAAGACAAAGAGAACCCAGTTAAACAAATGAGACAAAAATGATCCAATATTACATATCTGTGAGTGGCAAAAGTATTCACAAGGGTTCACAAACTTTCAAGCACCACTGTACATACAGAGCTGTGGTTCTGATCATTTGTGATCGTGATCGACGTATTGTTCACCCCTGGATTATGCTATAGTGCATATAGTCAGTCCCTCCAGGATTTATGCTAAATCAATTTTCAACAAATCGCAGACCCCTTCAGACTTTATTTATGAAGACAAATGAAGTGTTAGTGTAGTATCTAGTATTAGCTATTATGCAGATGTGTAGAATAATATTGTTCCTATTTATTGCATCAATGGAGCTTTTTATTCCTGAATTTGGTTTTTGTAAAATGCATATACAGTATCTGACAAAAGTGAGTACACCCCTCACATGTTTGTAAATATTTGATTATATCTTTTCATGTGACAACACTGAAGAAATGACACTTAAAGTAGTGAGTGTACAGCTTGTGCAACAGTGTAAATTTTCTATACCCTCAAAATAACTCAATACATAGCCATTAATGTCTAAACTGCTGGCAACAAAAGTGAGTACACTACTAAGTGAAAATGTCCAAATTGGGCCCAAAGCGTCAATATTTTGTGTGGCCACCATTATTTTCCAGCGCTGCCTTAACGCTCTTAGGCATATATATATATATATATATATATATATATATATATATATATATATATATATATATAATTGTTTAGCCAAATTATTATGAGAACAATTAATTTCCATTTCCATTTACACAAATAACCAAGGTGTGGCTCATACGCCCAAATTACACCGTTTCCCTGTCACTGGCTTAGGTGAATCATCATAGGTGTAGTATATGTGTGTAGACTAGTGGATGTCACGTGATTGGGGGCATGTTTCAGATTTTCTCGAGCTCAACAAATCCTCAGTCAGCACTCAATCCTACTCAGGATCACGAAGCTACAGTCTGACATTAAGAAGAAGCGATTTGTTTTTGACGGATAAACAGCAGCCGAATGTCTCCACTAGATTTTCTAACAGATGAGCAGATGATCAGATTTCTTCAATGTAAGAAGACAGAGATCTCCTCTTATATAGAGGAACCATTCACCTTCCTCAACCTGCTCCGAGACTACAAACTGGTACCTGAGGATCTCTACCAGGTAAGAGATTATAATACTTTACACCATGCCTCCATTTGAGGAGGATTTGATTTTGTATTCCAGGTTCCCCATGACCCTGAAGAATAAGCAGTACAGAAGATGGATGGATAATGGAAAATACTCATGATGATAAATACTCATATACACCGACCTATACTTATGGTCTAATACAGTAAGATTTAGACTACTTATAAACAAAAAAGACCAGCTGTTGTTGATTGCCGACATCTAGTAGTGGGAGTACGCATTGTAAAAGAAGGCAGTCCATGTGTGTTACTGATTCCAGTTCATTATAAAAACAGATTTGGCTGAGATCATAAAAAAACATGTTTTCACCAAAAAGTTTGTGATTTCACCAAACATGGTGGCAGAAGCTTTTACTCTATCCAGGTATTTGTTATGTAATTAAGTTCAGATTTTCTTTTGTGATACTGATTCAGCAAACTAGCAAGTGAGCTCATTAGAGAGGTTAGATTAGGTTCTGGGATTCGCTGATGAGCTCTCTTTCGAGAGAAAGAGCAGGTGCCTAACTCATGCACCAAGGTGGACTTAAGCAAGTCAAGTCCCAGCTACTTCAGAACTATGTGCTCAGTGCTAACACAGAAAACTGAAAATAATCTGGCAACTAGCATAAGCTTGCCAGTGAGCTATGCCCTGGAATGTCCTAAGTAATCTCAAAACAGTGATTAAGGCTCACTCAGAAATGCGTGGTCTTAAGTTGATAAATAAAGTGCTTAAAAAGTCCCAGTGCATCATGCTTACCATAGACAATGTACTCTATGAGCTTTCCAAAGCTCACAAATTCACATTGGTGAATGCTCGTAATACATTCTTGCAATGCAAACTCGGTCTTCTCATGGACCACCTCAGAGAAGCTGAGAATGACCCTCAATAAGCTGCAAATCGAGCTCAAGGAGGTATGCTTCCATGGGCATGTGCTGCCAGCAGAGGGCCTTAGAGCAGACCTCAAAAAGGTGAGGGCCATTCAAGCAATGCCAACAGCCACAAATGCAAAAGGGATGCAAAGGTTTATAGGTTTCACTATATACCTGTCCAAGTCCATGTCACACCTACCAAAAGTCTGTAAACTGCACAGGTTCCAAAAAAAAAAGAACAAAACAAAAATCTTTCCTAAAACATTATTAACAAATAAATAAATCAAAAGTGTAATGATGGGAAACATTTTTATGTAACTTTTGTTTAGCATTAGATTATCTTAAAACCCTGATCTACCATATCTTATACAGTGGTTTTAAACACTTTTAAAATGATATTTTTTGAAGTTTTAGAAACTCTTTCATGTCTTCATGAGACAAAATGCTTTCAAAACAACATACTTAATGAAGGATTTTTAATGTAAAAATATTGGACATTTTTCTGTTGGGGTTAGCGTTAGGGGTAGAATATACAGTAGCAGAAAAAGGTGTGTGAACCATTTGGAATTAATTGGTTTTCTGCATTAATTAGTCATAAAATGTCATTTAATTTCATCACCAGTTCACCAACATTGATCTTGCATACCCCTTAGTAAATTTTCAGTTGCACCCCTGAATGACACTTGATGTGAGTGACCAGTTGTCATGGCAACATCAGGTCACGTAAATACACGTACACATATAGAAATCAAAGATACACAAATTGTTCATGGCCAATGAAAAAAAGTTTGAGGGATGATTTTATGTTTTATTAAAAGTGTTCTACATATGGTAAACCAGATTCTGCACCCCTGGTTTACCAAACAGCTCACGGTAATGTTAGACATTCCCATTCCCTTTTTGAAATTTAATGATAACATAGCATTACAGCTATTCAGCATGATATAATTCATAGAGTGGATTAATGTTAACTACATTTAGCAAGTGTTTTGGACAAGGCAAGCTGTAGTAATTAGCATTAGGAGGATGAGTTAGAGCTGTGTTTCTTCATGTATTGGGTGAATGTTA